GGCAGTTTTTCCTTGACGTCTGCCTGCATACTAGCCACAAAGGCATGAAAATCCCACGCATTACACGAACCGGGTCCTCCACTATCAGGGAGCCAGTGGCTCTGGACTAGCGTAATCACGTTCCAAGCTCCGAAGGTACACTGCTGACAAACCGGTTCGAGAGCAACTACCGCTGAGGGGCTCAACCAGGTTATAGTAAAGCTTGACGCTTGGAGGTGATCACACCCTCTTAGACAGGGCCCAGTTTACTTTCTTTTCTGGTGATTAGAAATCCTGAAAGACCTAGCACGCAAGCGATTCAATGGCAGACATGCTGCGACTCCTCAAGTGAGTTGACCGGCTAAGGTTCATCTGTTCTCTTACCGGACTCGTGATGGGTAGGCTCCGCAAAGACTGTTTGCTCAATCCCACCGATATATTGTTCAAATGTATTATCTTCCTTGTTTCGAAACGCCCAGTTGTTGGTCGTCTTTTTGCGCGCACTTGGGTTTTTCACCGAGCTTCCATTATTGCACTTTTCTTGAATTCCCTCACGGCTAAGCGCCATTGTTTACTATTGATTTGTTGCTATTCTAGTCAGTGATAACGACAGCGAATCACCGGCGCGCTAACAAGTGTTTTCGCGTTCTACTGCTGCACTGAAGTTATTACATTTCTTCGTTATGCTTCGTCATTATGTTGTGGCTTCTTAAAAGGGCGCTCTCAGCCTTGACGAACTTGCAGGGTACAAACCAATCTTAGGCAAATTATGAATTAGTAGAAGAGACGTGTTCGCAAAATGCTTGAATTCTGTCAGTTGTTCGATATGGGTTAGCAATGGGCTCCTTTCCCATTTTGTTCGTCTTTCCATCATAGGACTTCACTTGGTTGAATTGAGATTGTTATATGACATTTAAATAACAGTTCCGCCACACCGTTATTGGTATTGCCGATACTGTCCGACAGATTTGGGCGTAGCCATTGTTTGCTGCTGTATTCATTGGGTTTAGCTACTGCGATTAGATACATCCAAACGCAACTTGGAACAGATTGAGTTTGTAGCTCAAATGCAGTGCATTCAAAAATGACTGTTCTCCGCAAAAATCCAAATATTCGATATTAGATGTTTATTGCCTCCCCCTGAGGGAGATTACTTGGTTCCGTCCAAGGTCAAGTTATATGCCTTATGGGCGTCCTCTCCGTAAGTGGTGACCTGAAGGTGGTTTCTCACTGTCGGCAGTTGGTGTCTTGCTTTGCTTCACCTCCATGCAATATTTCTATTGGGGCCGACTTAACTAGTTTATTTTCCCATATTTTTTGGTTGCACGCCCCATTCCCGCTCGTCCTGCCACTCCGTAATGCCACGCACACTCACTGTAGAGCTGAACTCTTCTGTTCACCGAGAACCCTCGTTGGCTCTGTTCTTTGTTCTGGTCTTTGTTCCAACCCTTCAACTATCGAATTCATGCTAAGCTTGAGGCTTGTATTTTCGTGAACGTTTGTCTTATTTTTGCGGCCCTAGCGGGTGTCTTCTGTTCATTTGTATTTCCCCATTCGTAGTAATCTCCGAGTGTTATAATCTAACCTTACTCTTCCAGCCATAGCCGCAAATTCTCGGAACAACTTCACGATTCCCCGTTCTACGGGATCCCTGTGGAAGATCCGTTTCGCTTATGTGAATTTATCTGGGTTTGTCTGTCATGGGACGAATATTCATTGAACATTTGGGTGGGGAAAAGGTGTTCCATTGTCGAAGATGCGGAGTCCCGTTGTCAAATGATAGCGAGATCGTTAGTACCCGTTTTAATGGATCAAGCGGTCGGGCCTACCTTTTCAATCGTGTTGTTAACATCTCTTACAGCGAGATACAAGTATGTTTTCGTTTTTATACATACATTTTTAACTTATGGTCTCCGTAGGATCGTATCATGCTGACAGGTCGTCATCTGGTTCGCGATGTGATGTGCATCAAATGCAATACTAAGTTGGGATGGACTTATGAGCATGCTGTGGAACGTAACGAGATTTACAAAGAAGGTCGAGTGATCTTGGAAGAGGCCCTTTTTGTTGAGTCCGATGGGATTGCCGACCCACTTGGGGAACGCGTGGGCGTCTAAGCATCATGAGCTTCATAACTTCATCGTCATTCTTATTCACCTCACCACAGCGCTTTCATCGTCATTTTTCAGTCTGGTTCTTTTCTATCAAATATACGTCTCATTCTCATTTTGAACTCAACGCCTGTGCATACCTCTGTGATATTTGGCATCGTCATAAACAAAAAATCGATTTTTCATTGTGTCTTCATTTTTCCGGGAATTGACTGCAAGTCTGTCTTCTGAATCATCCAGTTTGTCGCCAAGTGGCCCTATTCACCTCAGTCTGGTGCTC